TCATTCGAATACCGCTTCGAAATCGTCTCCCAAGATGTAGTTCTTGCTGGTGAGCATCAACAATTCGATGAGTTTGGCTGCTTCACCTTTGAGCGCCGACCTGAGGTAATGGAACTTTTGGACTTCGCTCAGCTCCACGGACTCATGCATCAATGAAATGTAGGTTGGCTTGAACGACAACCAGCCCTTGTAGTTACCATCGAACTCCGAAAGCGATATCTGCGGCAGTTGAACTCCGGTATGAGTACCCAAAGCGCTGGCATTCCGTGCCATTGTGCTGTCCAACTCCATGTCCTGAAGCCTGTATTGGCAGTTTCTCTAGTAAAGCTGCACGAACTCCACGCAAGCCTTGCCGCAATTCTCATCGCACTTTCCTTCAGCATCCACCGCAGCAATCTCATCCTGCACTTCCTCGTGTCGTAAATGGGCATCATCCTACTCGAGATTTGGCTGGATTGCGCTACTTATTCAAATAAGACAATAGAAAAGGGCCCATCAGCATTTGTAAACAATCCGTTCTAAAGCCCTTTCCTCACAAAGCAAAGGCCGCCCACGCATACCAACACTATCATTGGATAGGGGAAAGTTTCCCCTACACGATAATGGTGTTCGTTTGCGTGGGCGGCCTTCGCTTTATGCGGAAAGGTCTTTCAAATGGTTTGTTTACAAATGCTGATGGGCCCTTTCTTATTGTTGATCCAGAAGAGGGCTTTTCGTGCCAAGTTCTCGATCGTAGTAGGCTGCTAATGATTGCTGATCGGTACTCGGTGGTTGCCTTGGTTACTCTCGCTTCCAGAAGAAGGAGAGGGCTCGTTTGTTCGTCGTTCGGTCCGTTGGTTGCCGCTGTTGCTTGGTTGATTTACTGGTTCTGCCGGATTGCCTTGGTACCGTCGTTCGGTCGGTTGGCTATCTAGCTGTTGTTCCTTCCTGCTTTCGAAGTAGATGCTACCTTTTCAGCGTCAGAATGGAGAATGACTCACATGGATAGTACACGCACTTTAAATAACTGAAGGCTTTTACACTTCAACAAATCAGAGATTTCGAAGGGGAATTCAATCTTTATTATTATTAAGGAAGTTCAAATATTCTTATTACTATTATTATTATTATTATTATTATTATTATTATTATTATTATAATTAGTAATATCGGTTCCATTTGATTAATGGGGACATGAATTTGTTAATAGTTCCGTATTTTCTATTCTGGATATTAAAACGCAATTATTATTTTCCAATTTTATTTTATTTATTTATTTTATTCGCTCATCGCACCTTTATACTACACCTCGAACTCATCGTACTTCGCATCGATTTTATCCAACCGCGATTGCACTTGACCCTCATGTACATCTGGATTGAACTCATCTAGAAATTGCACATCTGGATTGAACTCATCCAGAAATTGCACATCTGGATTGAACTCATCCAGAAATTGCACATGTCTGCTTTCTGATTTTTTTCTTTAATTTGACACTCAGAAATTCCCACAACCACTACCAGTTCAACAGGAAGAAGTGCAAATCCAGACGACCGAGAAAAGAATAAAAACAACCAGGGAGTACCGCCAAGAACAGTGTGAGGGTCTTGCACAGGACCTCGCCAAATCTAGGCCTTGAATTTAAAATGTATCCGCTATCTCCGCTCCCGTGTCTTTTCAAGCCTTAAATGTGTCGTATTCGTCCTTCGAATTATGGCTGTTGTAATTTCCGATTTTCCTTTTTTCCTTTATCATTGAGATTTTTAGCCAGTTGGCTAGTTCATCTCGTAAAGCTTTCCTTAGAATAAAATTCCTTTGACATGTTTTTGACGGAAGTCCCAAGATTTTCATCTCGGAACCTTCCTCAGAATTCCTTTGAAACTAATCAACTGAACTCCCTTTTAATTCTAGTTTTAATTTTTTTTTTGAACTCTCAGCGGAATTCTCTTGGCATTCTTCTTAAAATTCTCCAGATATTCTCCTCAAGATTTCCATTAACCTTGCGACGGTAGTCGGGACTTTTTCGACCCAAACTTACTATTAAATTGGCTGTATCTCAGGAACCCTTAACTCAATGATCTTGAAATTTGACGACTTCTCCTAACCTTGGAGTTGTAACTTCTGGTAAAGTTTCAGGATTTTAGGTGCATGTTAAGTGTTTCCTAAAAAAAAGTCACATCCTTTCCCTCTAGGTATTTTTAGGCTCAAGATTGCTATATAATGATCATTTTTACTTAGATATACAATCTAACTGCACGAATGGCATGATACATGCTCATTTTTGCCATTCCTAGGGGTCTGGATGCCATTTGGTTATTTTGGCCACACGGAACTTGCTGCAATCCAGAGAAAAATCTGGGTGAATCCTGTGGAAGATCCGGAACATCCGTAGAGTTGGTCAAATTATGAAACTTATTCTAATGCTGTGTGACTTTGACGTAGGACTACGCCTGTGATATGGGGGTACACTTTGTGAAAACCGAAAATGGAACAAGTAACAAAATTATGAAAGGTTTTGAACGTTAATAACTCAACTACCTCTGGATCAATTTCAATAATTTTATCACCAATCGATCAGATATATTTCTACGCATCTGTTACATTTAAGACCGCATCATTTTTCAAAATGTCGCTATTGAAAATTGCTCGAATGTGCAACTGTTGCTTTGATAATTAAAATTATCACCGATTGCCTACGCGAAAAAGAGATTTCCCTAACACAGATTTCAAAGTCGAATTCTATCCGGTCTCATCAAACGGTGTTTATTCAATCCCCGCGTGGTGAGTAGTAGTGTTCTCCAGTACACAACGAAAGGCTTCCCGTAAGCAGCTAGCTACCAAGGCTGGCCTCCACCGCTGATCGGTGTGCTGATGTCCGGTCTTCGGTATCAACTGCAGCAGCAGCAGTGCTTTCGGCGCGTGGCGTTGAACATTGTTCTCCAGCACACAACGAAAGGCTGCCTGCAAGCAGTGAGCTGCAGCCCACATGAGCATCCATAGAAATAGGAAGAAGCCGCACCGCTATTGGTCGGAATCAGTAGCTCTTCGTGAGTAACTGTGTCCCATCTAGGTCAAGCGCGTCATACTAAAGAGTATAAACAGAGAGAACGCTCAAATTCCTGTTCCTTCACAAAACACAAGCTCCAGTTTCTGCAGTTAACAAATAAGATTTATTATATAAGACCACGTAGTCCTACGTCACCATTGCGTACAACCCCATAGGGCTGTCCTATGTAGTTTTTTTCAATAGCTTACTACTGTATTTCAAAAGTAATTTACAATGTACAAGCAGCATTTGAACCGCCCATGACCACATGATAAATAATGTTTGGCAGTATCATATTGGTCTAGCCATAGTTCAACGGTAAGCTTTAGTGTTCACTTTTAGAGTAATTTCATCTCATATTAGTCAATTTTCATTCACCGAGATTTACTCCGGATTGTAGCCATGACGCCATAATGACCAAATGGCATCCAAGTCCCTGGAATGGAAAAATGGAGCATGCACCTTGCCACTCGTGCAGGTTGATTGAGAATCTAAGTCTAAATGATCATTTTATAGCAATAACAATCTAGGGTCTAAAAAGACCCAGGGGCGAGATTGCTGACCCGTTTCCTTTACCTGGTTAAATTTTCCTCACGTTCATCTAGGAATTAAATTCAGAAATTTATGCTTCACAGAAATCTCTTGAAATTCATTTCTGTATTTCTTAGGAATTGCACTTTCTACGATTTTTGTAAATTTTCAAGTGTCCAAGCTTTTAAATATTCCAAAAATTTGCAAATTCGGGAAAAATAAGTTCCCATTGATGTACTTCAAAGGTATTTAACAACTAGTTTTGTATAAGAAATGCATATCATTTAACGAATGTCGTAAGTTGTAATATTTGTCATTAACCGAACGATAAATATGTATGGTTTTTCCGACCTTTAAAATGTGTTTAATATGTGTTTCGGCCTTATTTAATTTTCGGCCCTTTTTGTGGTAGGTTCATACATTTTCGGTCATTTTCGTTCGACCTTCTGTTCCCATCCCATAAAATACCACGTACACATAGTTTTCACAGAATGAACTTACTTTGCTCAACAATTTTGTCCTTATTTCGATCAAAAGTTACGTATTCATGCTACAATGTATTGAAAAATGTTAAAGATGCCATTTTGAAAAATTAAATACATGGTTCAAAATGGTCGAAAATTTTCAAAAATGCGACAACATACATAGTCTGGTTTTCCAAAGACTCTCAATCAACGAGATGGGCAACTTATTGATGCCGCGAACAATCCAATCTTTCCGATGCACAACCCACGACACATACAAACGCTTCCATTAGTGTGAGTATGTGTCTTTTGAAGATGGTTCAATGTGCTTACGCAAAGCTTAATAGTGGCGCTGATTCCTTGTGCAGGCGGTCTGCTATTTCCAACTCCAGAATACTCAACAAAAGGACGTGAGTGATGCGGGAGCTCCTTTAACGAAACCTTTCAGCTGGTCGTCCAAGATGACCTCTTAGCGATGGCCATCGGCCAAAACAGACCCAAGCAGCTGGTCAACAACTACCGCCCCTTCATATCACTTCAATGAATCTTCTGTCAATGCTTTATCATACGATGAATACAATGAAGCGCACTTGTTGATTCGTTTCAGTGTATTCGAAATCGTACACCATGGTCTTCAGATTATAATTATTAATGGGGGCTCTCGCACCGGATAAAGTAACGGAGGAAAGTTTCACAGGGAACATCCAAGTAGTATTTTCGAGGTAAAGGATTTCAAGAAAAAAAATCTGATAGTTCTGAGAACACGTTATGAAATATTTATAGTACTGAATAGTGAATTAAAACAAAAAAAAAATGGAAAATTTTCCGACTAGCTTCCAGAGAAGATCCTGTGAGGGAGAGTTTGTACTACTACTTCGGAAAATAAGATCATCTTTCGAAGGGAACGAAAAGAAAACACCCAGCGATAGTTTCGGATTTGTGGATCACCAGACTTAACTGATTGTTCCTTCTGTTTCCAGACCGTCAAATGGCAGCCACCGCTCAAGATGAACGGTCAGCTACGTGAGTATGAAGTCTTCGTCGAACTGAACCCGGACGACAACGAGCAGCTGAAGACGCGAAACTATTGCGATGGTAAGCCTACCCTTCTCCCTGTGAATCTCCTAAGTGACCGATCCTATTTTGTTTCGTAGATGCCGAAAAAGTCCGCGAGATCATCCCGGAAACGCCAACCATTCCTCCCACACAAAAGTCATCGATGTGTACGGAGGCCCTGTGTCGAAACTATTGCAAATCCCCTTCCAGCGGCGATACCTCCGGAAGCATCGATGCCACTGACAAAGAGAACCAGATCACCTTCGAGGATCAGCTGCACAATTACATCTATATCAAGTAAGTCCTTCGGTACCCATCGTAGACAGCATATCAAGAAAATAATCGCGCCATCTACCGCTCAAAGCTGAAAGCTCCGGACGAATTTGTTAACGCGGCGATGCCCTTAGGCTCAAAAGCGATTTTTTCGTCTTCCTGATATGTTGCCTTCGGCTCCATCCTATGTTTGCGATTGAACGTTTTTCCTTCGATTTGCTTAGAAATCCTACCGTCATCAACGACAAACAGACCCGCCGGAAACGTAGCAGCAGTATTCTATTCCCGATTAACACCGAGAGCAAGAAGAACGTTACCACCGATCGGCGCACGGAGAAGGTCCCCGGGGAGCATTACTACCGATACATGTTCAACGTCACGAACGATAGCACCATCTCCTTCCCGCTGAACTTCTTCAATCATTACTCGATGTATGTGGTTAAAATCCGGGCCTGTCGCTACCCGGGTGTAGCGCCGGCCCCCAACGTTAAATTGGTAGACGTTGAAGATGCCTGCGGAAACGAGGTGATTGCGAACGTCCGTACACCGAAGAAACCCGGTGCCGATGACATTCCGCCGGATTCGATCCTGGTGGAGGAGCAGTCGAACAACACGCAGCGGGTCATCAAGGTGCAGTGGAGGGAACCGGCCAAACCGAATGGTCCAATCGTCAAATTTTCGGTCAAGTATCAACGGGTTGATCTGGACTCGGTTTCAGCTACGGAGAAATGCATACCCTATTCGGAGTTCAACAACAGTGGGTTTACTTTCCTCTCCAAGCTGGAACCGGGCAACTACAGTATCCGGGTGATGGCCACCACAATTGCCGGAGATGGGGCCTACTCGGCTGCTCGCTACGTGTATCTCAAGAAGGACGACAGCGAGAGTTCGACTATGATTTTGTTGGTGTGTTTGGCCATTGTGTTTGTGTTTTTCATCGCGAGCTTGCTGTTTTACTTTTACAAGTATCATTACGCACCGAAGCAGATTCGTATGTACCCGGATGTCAATCCGGACTATGCCGGAGTTATATACAAGGTTGACGAATGGGAAGTCGAGCGGCACCATATTCTTCAACTGGAGGAACTCGGCCAAGGCTCTTTCGGTATGGTCTACAAGGGAATTCTGTCACAGCGGAATGGCGAGAGTTGTAACCTACCGTGCGCTATCAAAACGGTCAACGAAAGTGCCACAGCCAGGGAGAAGGACAGCTTCCTGATGGAGGCCTCCGTGATGAAACAATTCCACACGCATCACGTCGTTCGGTTGCTCGGTGTCGTCTCGCAGGGTGATCCCACGTTGGTCATCATGGAACTTATGGTGAACGGAGATCTGAAGAGCTACCTCCGGCGGCACCGGCCGGACTACGAAAACGGCAATGAACCGTCTCCGCAGCCACCGACACTGAAGGCAATCATTCAGATGGCCATCGAGATTGCCGATGGAATGGCCTACCTGTCGGCGAAAAAGTTTGTTCATCGGGATCTGGCCGCCCGAAACTGTATGGTTGCCGAAGATATGACGGTCAAGATCGGAGACTTCGGTATGACCAGGGATATCTACGAAACAGACTACTACCGAAAGGGTACCAAGGGTAAGTTTGCACGATGGGAGTCGTTTCTTGAATTGGTTTTAATTGATTGTTTTTTTTTTTTATGAAGGCTTCCTTCCGGTACGATGGATGTCACCGGAGAGCTTGAAAGATGGCGTCTTCAGCAGCAGTAGTGATGTGTTCAGCTACGGTGTTGTCATGTGGGAAATGGCCACCCTTGCCTCGCAGCCATACCAGGTATGCTTCCGAGAGCAACATTTCCAAGTTATTCTTATACAACATAATCATTCTAACAGGGCCTCACCAACGATCAAGTGCTGCGGTACGTCATCGAAGGTGGCGTCATGGAGCGACCGGAAAACTGCCCGGACAGTCTGTACGAGCTAATGCGCCGCTGTTGGCAGCATCGACCGACGGCACGGCCCACCTTCATCGAAATCATCAGCCTACTCCTGCCGGACGCGAGCCCCCGGTTCCTTGAGGTATCCTTCTACAATTCACAGGATGCGCTGGATATGGCACCTGTGCTGCATCAAAGTAAGTTCGTTAGCCAACGACTTTTGAGCTCTCGCTCCCGCCTAATTTCCGAGTAAATAAAAAAAAGTAATGTTTATCCTAAAGATTAGTCAATCTGATTGAAAGATTCAATGGTTTTGCCGCTTCAGGCGAAATAAGTTGCTGCAATAAAAAATATGACTGAATTTGGTTGCACACCAGTCTCAACAACTGTTGTACAACCTATTTAAAAACTCGTTTAAATTTAGAACAAATGAAACAAGTAGGACGTGTTCTTGTTTAGATTGTCACACTTTCCAAGTGCATTCAAATAACCAACGGTGCTACCTTCTCCCAAACAGTAATCATGGACGATGTTACCACGCCGCTGCATCCGGGCGGTGACCACGACGAGGAGGACGAGGACGACGACCGGGACGGCGAGGAGGAGGCGATGCACGTCGGTGACGTTGGCACCGATGACGAGTTTTCGATGGAGATGACCAACAGTCACCTGGTGCGGAACAACGGCCCGATGGCCACGATCCGTTCGCCGCACTCGCCACTAAGGTGAGAACAGCACACCCTAGGTAAATGTTAAAAAATATATATTTTTCTATTTTTCGAAAGTCCACACACATACACACACCCAGAAACAAAAAAAAATATCCGTGAATCGTTAGATTGTTGTCAAAATTCAAAATTTTGTTTTTCGTTTGCACCACCCGCCGCTCGCCCAAAATTCCATCCATCTGCCTTCTATAGTTACCGCTCTCGTTGTAGTTTTTCGTTTCTAACCATCATCCGTCGATTCGTTCATAAATTCTACCAAAAAGCAACTAACCGTTCATCAATCATTCATCCATCGTTGCCATTGTCATTCATTGCACCCTTCCCTGTTTGGCAAACAGATTTGGCTCTACGTAAAAAAAGAAAAGAAATATATTTGGCATATTAAAATTGGAATAAGAAAAAAATATCTGCAAACCGACTGCCATTGGATGTCCGGAATTTCCGTTCAGCATGTGGAAATAAGAAATCCAATGGAAATGCAATTGGCTCCTACAATTGGAAATGCTCGAAATAGAAGATATATATTTTTTTAATTTTATAACATTCTGTGCTTTATGTTTTGTTGTTCGTTTATCGTTACTTGGCTGCATCGAGGCATTTGGGGGTACCGTTCTGTTTCAAGTTCTGGAAACTAATTTGCAACATTTTAAACTTTCACTGGATTTCGATGCTGTCCGGAATTATAATCAAAACGGTACCCTAGTGTTGATGTATTTTTTTTTCCTGGGAAATTCTAGCCACTTTTGTCGTGACCCCTTCAGATATGAATGGAACTATGTACATATGTTGGTTGATATCAAAGATGAAATTTTCCGTTAAAAATTTGTCCGGGCTAATTTTTTCAGTGTGAAAAACAGGTTTAATTTTTTTTAAAGTCATAACTTTAAAACGGTATTATACACTCAATTCTGTTTGACGGCGATTTTTTTCGCCTATATTTTTGTACGTGTAATCAGGCATGGAAAATCATTTACATTCATTTGCCCCTAACTTTTTTCATCAACAGAATTCCGCAAAATGGTGTATGAAGCTTTTGTAGGTTTTGGTATTAGCTACAACTTTTGTTATTAAGGTGATTCCTTGTAGAGTTCACAAATGGCCGCCAAATGCACTTCCACCTCGAATTTTCAATTACACAAATCTCGAAAATTAGAGTTCCATTTCACCTGAAATTGCTACTGCATGTATGCTGCAGCGCAGCAAACGTGGAGTAACAGTTTCATTGTAGTACGTGTCGTGGAAGCTAATCACCCCTATTCTGTATTTCGTTTCGAACGAAATTCTCATACAAAAAAATATTTTTTTGTATGAGAATTTCGTTCGAAACGAAATACAGAATAGGGGTGAATATTTGTGCACTTAAAGTTTCGAAATGGTAGCGAGAATAAGGATCTCACAGCAAACCACCTTAACTCAAATCCGTACCTCTTATGTATGACGAACCAGAGCGAACAGAAGCCACTACTATTTTTCAGTGAATGTATTTTACATTCTAATTCGTGATGCATAAGAGATACAGATTTGAGTTATGGGCAAAAGTTGTAGCTAATAACAAAACCTACAAAAGCTTCATACACCATTTTACGGAATTCTGTTGATGAAAAAAGTTAGGGGCAAATGAATGTAAATGAATGCACGAAATGAATGCAAATGATTTTCCATGCCTGCGTGTAATCTCAAATTGCTACAAAATTTAATGCAATTTGTTTAAAAAAAAAAAGTAACAAAAAATCAATGAAAAATCAGGTGGTATTAAAAATCCTTAACCAATCCTGCACGAATTGAATGCAGGGGAAATGGTTCTAATGTTGGCCTATGGATCTGAGGCTGATGGCCCATCGCTAAAAATCAGCTATTTATCAATTTTATCTAGATGAACGCGTCATCGGGACGATACTAATAGATATTTTTGGTTGCTATTGAAAATTTAGTCGATTGCTGATTTTATTTATGGGCTCTCTCTCTGTGTTACGTTTTTTCCCATACCTATTACACGTACTGTCACACATTCTAGAACCTCCCTCTCTCAAGATTGGACGTCATATTTGAATCGCCTCTAATAGTATACACTCAAAAAATAAATCACATTTCCAATAGAATTTCACATAACTTTCATGTGATCTCATAATTGGGAATCGCGCTACAAAATCACATGAACCTTTTGTGTCCAATGAAATTTAGGTGATTTATCACATAGAATTCATGTGATCATATGAATGTTATGTGAATGTCAGATAAAAATCATTAATTTTGTTATTCGAAAAATATCACGTGCGTTCCGAATGGAAACTACACGGCGAATGAGAACGACCCAAATTTGAGTTTGTTCACTCATAATCGCCAAAAGTGCAGGAACTCAGCGATGAGTAAAATTTGTCTCATGTTTTCCCAGGTTTTTTCCAGGATTTTCCAGGGAAAAATTCCCGAATTTGAGAAAAGTAAAGATTGGATTAACTCAGTCTATTGGTACTACTCCGAGACTGAATAAAATTTTCGTCAATTTCCTCATTTTCCGGCAGATTTTTTAGGTTTTCCACAGGAAACCATGAGACAAATTTACTCATCGCTGAGTTCCTGCACTTTTGGCGATTTATGAGTGAACTAAACTCAAATTTGGGTCGTTCTGATTCGCCGTGTATATGACATTTTTTTTTCGGTGTAGAATATCCAGAAAATATATACACTGAGAGAAAAATCACTGTAAAATCGCGTTTAAAAGATAAATTGTTAATTTATTTCTTTAATTCTTAAAGACCCCCTTTTCGATTTTTAAATTTTCTTTTGTGAAGAAAGCTGAGCAGTCCACGCTAACTGACGAATCTATATGATTTTTTCCTCTTCGACTTCCATGAAACTTCGCACAATTGGGTTCTTTAATTTTGAAAAATATATCGATTTCTATACATCATCTGAAGGGGCTTCGTTGAGCACAGCGATATTTTTTTCGACCCCATTTACTTCTATCTTGATTTTTAAATCAAGATTTAAAGCAAACTAATCACTCCACTGTTTGATACAAAACTAACAAATTGACAGCTCACTCCCATACAAAGTACCAGCGAGGGGCGCTAAGATAGTGATTTTTGCTTATGTAATCACACTTATTTAAAACAGTTCCAGTGTTCCAAAATTGATGAAATTTTGGATTTCGGTTCCATTTGTGATGCAGATTATGAATATCCAATTACCTTAAAACCCCTAAAGATCCCAATTGTTCTCTAAGGGGAAATAGGGTAAATGTTGGCTTCGGCACCCATTGACTGTTTTCGGCAACCAAAATTTAAACGTTAATTTCACTATGTTTTCCCATCAACGCACTTCCCTGAATGTGTCCAAACGATTGTTTAGCCTTTCAGCTTCAATCTGATTATATTTGAACGATCGAGCAATCCAGTAATGCTACATTTTTCTTCAAATAAAGCATACGCACTACAAAATGAGGTTGATTTCGAGTTGCCGATAATAGAACAGCTGGTTAACACGCAGTTCTAATGGGAAGGTTGCCGAAGAAAAAGAGACTGCCGACAATAGTCACACTCACCTGAGAAGTTTGGAGCGTTGTAAAAACGCTTTCAAAACGTTTTGAAAAATTCTGTCGATTGGAATGGATAGAGAAGCATGCAGCAGATGAATGTAAACAAACAGACACATCATATATGTGCGTGACGCTGAGAAAATGCTAGTAGAAGTGCAGACGCTGCTTAGATTGACGAGAATACGTAAATTCCCCTACTACAAGTTTGTGCCGGAATTCGACCATTTTGATCCGCGCCTTATTTTCAAAATTTGAGTAGGGAAGAGCGCTTTTTCGTCGTAATCGCCCATTTTCGTTCTATCGAGCAGAAATCATCAATAATATCAATGATTTCACCATGCACAAAACAATAATACGTTTGTTCCGATGCGTTAGTTCATTAGCTACGACATAAATCCTATTAGAGCGCATTGTATGCGTATTTACGCTCATTGTTGTCAAAACAAAAGAAGCGCTCCTAGCGCATCCCCTTTTCTCCGTTTATCCGTAGGACGAAGAAAATCTAATGGCGTTTCAATGCGTTTGGACGGAATTGAAACGCGTAGAACGAATTTAGAAGCAAGAAGCAGTGTTAGATTTTTAATAATATCTCAACATTGTTTGACTCTTTATCAAATCCAACGGTACGTATGGAAAGGTGGATAAATTTAGAAGTTATCTTTGATAAAACATTCCATGTTTTGTTCAAACGCTTTCCAAAAAGCGTGGTAAAGTGCGAGATGTCCTTAGTAGGACGGAAATTAGATCAAAAACCCTATTCGATATTTTTCTATAAATCATAGCACGTCTCATCTAATCGCCCGTAAAAAAAGAAACACCGAGGGGCAATGAAATGTATTGTAACCAAACAATAGATCGTACTGTCTACAACAATAAAATAACCATAGAATTTATTATTTCCACAATAGAATCTATGGTACATGGGGAAATCTAAAATAGAACAAGGGGGTTGTTATGTATCTTTACCATACGAAAAATCACTTTTTCGCGAACAAACTTGAGCCATTTACCATTAATTGTAATGTTGTTCTATTGTTGAAAATCCTTACAATATGGGACGTATTGTACATCTATATAAAAATAAGTTAAAATTTCTTGTACAATATACGTAAAATAAGCCCGGATAAAAATAACCATACAATTACAATAACATATAAAAAACAATAGATTCTACTGTTGACAATTAACCCTATTATAATTGTATTGTATTGGTCAAATGATCAAATAATTACCACATAGGTTTACCATAAATTCTATGTTATCAAAATTTTGCACAATAAAAAAACAATAAAATGTATTGTTATGATATCAAATTTGTTCGAGATTTTTTTTTATGGTTACGGTAATCAACAACCCCCTCTTTTCTAAAGTAAAAGCCTAAAATACAATATATTCTATTGTACATAACAATAAGTTCTTATGTATTTTAATTGTCTTTGACTATAAGATTTGCCGGTGCCGG